ATATACATATATATATATATATATATATTACTTTTTTTTTGAATATACATATATTTTACATTTAACACTAAACATGAAAGTCGAGCTCACAACTAAATTAGCTTATTTTTTTAAATCATTCTGTGTTTATAAAAATATTTTCACAATTAAATTACATACATATAAATTAGTTCTTAAATTACATTTGCTTATAATTACTTATTTTACATAGCGAAGACTTTTTGTTGCAGCTTGAACAAACGTCCGTCCGTCCGTCCGATATAATAGGATGTCCTTTGACTTCTGTTTTTCTCCAAGAATTCATCTTACGCGCCCATTGATTTAGCCTTTTGTAACCTACGGAAAATAGCGATTTCAATAAAGAAAGTTGAATAAAGTAAATATATAATAAAAGTGCAAAACAGTTGAATTGGCGCTAGCGGAATCTAAAAGCAGTTGCTTTAAAAGCTTTACTCGCAAAAACATTGACAGATAAAAATCCGGTAGCGAAATGACCCCAGCTAAAGGCTGTCGGTACAGTCGCTAAGTGCCACCTTAGCACTCTTCTTATTATACTCACTTCCTCCTCAGCACCTTGAGCACTATAGCACCCTCGCGCACATCCTTGAATAGGCGTATTGTTTCCGCGTGGCTCATACCTTGCACGGACGTGCCATTAATTTCGACAATCTCGTCGCCTGAAATTAACAAAACAAATATTATTTCACTAAGCTCGCATTTTACCAATACCATATTTTAACTGTAATTTCGTTTTCAAAAAGTAGTTTTTAATATTTTTTTTTTTATAAAAATTTAAATATTTTAACAAATTTCTTGTAATATTTTTGAAATTTGGCTCTGAAAATTTATATATGTATACATACATACTTTGTTTTTTTTAATTTTCCTTATGTTATTTTGAATTTAGCAAGTTTCATGAAAGCAGTTAAATTTTTCACTCAAAATGCTGGTAAACCCTGCAGTAATACTATAATTATATTTTTAAATCTGGTTTCTTAAATTTTTTACAAAACCATTTTTTTTTTTTATTATTTATTTATTTTTTTTTGTAATATGCATTCGGTTGAAAATCATTCTCGAAACTTTATTATAAAAAATTATATTCATTCTTCTAAATCAATTTTTATTTGCTTTTATTTAAGAATAAATAATGTATAAAAAAATCGATTCGTACGC